GCTGGTGCTGCTGCTGCTGCTGCTGCTGCTAGTGCTGCAGGTGCAGTCGGCGGCGTGCATATAGAAAGGTCCGCGGGCGCTTCAGCCCAGTCGGAAGCAGCAGCAGCAACAGTGCTGGCAGCAGGAAACATTGTGGAAGCAGCAGCAGCAGCAGCAGCAGCACCTGGAGAGTGTACAAGAGGAGCAGCAAACAAATGCTCCCAAAGTCTTTGGGAAGCCAACGGCGAGGCCCCATTTTTGCTGCTGCTGCTGCTGGCGTTGCTGCTGCTGCTGCTGCGTGGAGTTCCTTTGCTGCTCGCTGATGCAGCACTTAGATGTGTCTGCTGCAGCTGCTGCTGTACGCCTTGCTGCAGCAGCTGCTGCTGATGCTGAGGCCAATGGTCTGCAGGGCTTCTGTTGCTGCTGCTGCTCCAACTCCGTCTGCAGACAAAAGTGCGCTAGAGTTGCTGCTGTTGCTGCTGCTGCTGTTGCTGCTGCTGCTGTTGCTGCTGCTGCTGCTGTTTTGGCGAGTAGAAGGCCACAGGCGTCTGGCAACCTGCAGCTGGGCAGTGCTTGGCGCCTCCTTCTGCTTCTGCTGCTGCTGCTGCTGTTGCTGCTGCTGTCCCCGGAGCTCCTGAGCCCCAGCTGCTGCTGCTGCTGCTGGCTCTGCTGCTGAAGCCCTCTTGCCTCCTTCGCGAGCTGCTGCTTTTGTTGCTGCTGCTGCTAATTGGGCTTTGTTGCTCCGGGGAGGCCTCAGGACTATCGATGCATTGAGTAGCAGCAGCAGCAGCAGGAGCTGCCCTAGCTGTCGGCTGCTGCTGCTGCGGTTGCAATTGCTGCGTTTGCTGCTGCTGCTGCGTCCACAAGGGCGTAAAGACAGATTATACTGCAGCTTAACATTACATTAAAAACAAAAACAAATATTTATTTAGGCTTTTCGAGCTGCTGCTGCTGCAGACATGGGGATCGTGCAGCCCCCCGCTGCTGCTGCTGCTGCTGCTGCTGCTCCCGCTGCTCTACAACTCCCTGTGCCACTGCTGCAGCAGCTGGAGCTGGAACAGCAGCAGCAAGTGTTGCAGTGTGTCTTTGCTGCATCTGAGGCAGCAGCAAAAGGACAGTTCCAGCAGCAAAAAGGAAGAAGAGCCCAGCGCCTGCAGTGTGGCGCTGTTGAGACATCAATGAGCAGCGGCAGCAGCAGCAGCAATAGCAGCAGCAGCAGCAGCAGCAGCTAGGGAAGAAATCAGCCTGATGGAGCTTCAAGAGGTGCTGCTGCACGACGCCGTCGCTGCCCTGCTACAGGAGCACGCACAGGAGTTTGCTGCTGACAGCAGCAGCAGCAGCAGCAGCAGCAGCAACGGGGAGGGCTGCAACTGTTCACACTGCAAGGCCGCAGCAGCAGCAACAGCAAAAGTTCGGGGGCAGCTGGGCAGGTGCCAAGTGGCGGTCCTTGCGGGCGTCATTGAGGATGCAGCAGCAGCAGATGCAGCAGCAGCAAAGCAGAAGCCGCAGCAGCAGAAGCAGCAGCAGCAGAAGCAGCAGCAGCGGGGCAAAAGGGCCACAATAGTAGCGTGCTTCAAGCTTCGGGAGTTCTCTGAAGCAGTTGAGGCAGAGATTCAGCAGCAGCAGAAGCAGCAGCAAAATAAAAAGCAGCAGCAGCAACCCTTGCTGCAGCGTCTTGCTGCTGCAGCAGCAACTCACCGCGAATTGCTGCTCCGCGATTTGCGCAGCGTGAGGGCAGCGCTGCCCCTTGGAGCTGACATTTTGGGTGTATGGTCACCGCTGCTGCAGCAGCAGGAGCAGCAGCAGGAGGCGGAGAAGCAGCAGCAGCAGCAGCCGCAGGAAGAGAAGGGGAAGCAGCAGCAGCAGCCGCAGGAGAAGCAGAAGCAGCAACAGCAACAGTCGCAGAAGGAGGGGGAGCAGCAGCAACAGCAGCCACAGGAAGGGAAGGAGCAGCAGCAGCAGCAGCAGCAGCAGACGAATCAGGAGCAGAAGCAGGAGAATGGGCAGAGTGGTGAGGAGCAGCAGCAGCAGCAGATGCTCGCGCTGCTGCAGCAGTTTGCTGCTGCGCTGAACGAGGCTTTTGTAGAAGACGCAGATGGGGAAGCAGACTGTGATATCCCGGACTTCAGCAGCAGCAGCAGCAGCAGCAGCAGCAGCTTGCGGAATGACCGAATCGCCCTGGCACTTCTTCCTTCCGACCAGCGGCAGCAACAGCAGCAGCAGCAGCAGCAGCAGCAGAAGC